GGATATTTGTGCCGGTCCCATTCCCTGCAATCGTCGGATTGGGGGCATTTGGTCCGTGGATGGAATTCTGTCGATCAAGTTCGTGTACCAGAATAAATACGTTGTCCACACCAACAGCTAGCACCAAGAAAGGTATCACTTCTGCGATGATCAAGGTCACTCGAACATGCAAGAGCGAGAAGAATCCAACAGAAGCGGCGACTGAAAGGATGACCAATGCTATACCAAATAGGCCAAGGAAGAATTTCGATCCAATAAAGATATGTCTAGGAAGGCGTGGAAGCCATGTTGCACGGTTTCGGCCATCAGCGGCCGTAGGGGATGATGTGACATTGTTCTTTTTGAAGAGTCGAGGGAAGTTGACGATCCAGGTATAAAGGGAGCCAACAACGCTTCCATCGTCCGAAATTGAAGAGTTGTTTCCTAGTGTCAACGAGACATAGAAGAACATCATCAAGTACGAGAGAACTATGATGCGAACATCCATATTGGTGCTCTTGTTTAGTTCTTCCTCGAGTGATACACCAGTTGAGAAAAAGACTTGAGCACCAGCATCCTGAGGTGCCGAGTTGGATAGGTTCGACAGGTATTCTCGTAATAAGCGCTCCCACGATTCGATACGAGCAACTTCCTCAGGGTCAAGAGAGTTGGCAAGAACATATGTGACGACCAATGACTTGGCCTGTAGATAGTCCTCGTCTTCAACGCCACCCAGAACCAGCGGAGGATTGAGAGGTTGGCCAAATGGAGGCAGGCACTCTACTTCACCCGGTGAGTCCGCACAGAGTAGTAATTGTTCTTCCCAAGTATCTTTTTCCCATCTTTCCAAGCCTCCAAACCAGGCAAGCACAGATTGAATGACACATTCACCATCTGGTCCCGCCGGCTTGAAACAAACGTCTTCTAATGTGATACCGTCTCCGGTAGTCAAATCTGCGATTTCTTTCTCAACATTATCCCACCAATTCAGGCGCTCCCAGGATAGGACAGGCTGAAGATCCCCAGAAAGCGCAGACGAGTTTGTCACAGGATCAACAAGGGAGGCTGTGCCAGAAGGAGCAGTGATGAAGACTTGTTGAGGTCGATAAAAGGGTCCAAAGTGTTCATCAAAGAAGTCTTTTTGGATTCGACTCTCAGATGTGGGTGCCACCCACAGGCGCACTGGATCGGTTTCTATCTGGAAGTACTTCCAACCATAGTTGAGACCACCGAACAACGTAAAGATGATCGCGAAGGTAAGCCAAGGGTGAGTTGCACAGGTGAGACCGATATGGTAGAACGCTCGTCTTAGTATGGTGTTTAGTCGATACTGTCGGGGTTGGACCGTCTCGATGGGATCCAGAAGAGACGCGCCACGCCCAAGATGGTGCCTTGCGACGTCTGAAGGAGCCGCAGACTCTTCTCCATCAAAATAGAGTGCAAGAGATGAAGCCCCGACGAGTGTGTTTCGTCGAGTATCTGGTTGGTTCGCTCCTGTTGAATGGAGTGGTTGCGAAACAGCGCCTTGGTTATTGAGAGATGAACCAGTATCTCCAGATAGAGCTACTCGCTCATACGAGCGATCTTTCTTTCGCCTAAGTAGCTTCTGGATAGTGAATCCGAGTAGGAACGAGGCAGCCGCCAAGCCATACGCGATCAAGAGGATGAGGGTGAGGCAAGTCACCGAACCGATTTGACACGACTTTGCTCTTTCATCTGGCGTGGGTTGATAGGGTAATGCAGGGCATACAGAGGGGCAATCTACGCATGCGCATTTGCTGCCCAGGTCTGTATCGGCGCAATTTCTTGGTCTTGTATCGAGTGGGATGAACCCTTCAGGAGCCTCTGAAGGGAAGTTGATCTGGAATGGACTTCCAAGTGGCTTTTCATCGCCCATGAATTTCAAGAACCCATGGTAGTCCTTTGCTCCTCCGCCAATGACGCTCATGGCGTATCCAACAGGTCCATATTTGACATCTTTACAGCTGTCATAGAATCCTGAGGAAAATGTCTCGCCGGCAAAGAAATCGACAGACTTGATAGCCGTCTGCTGAGAACTCGTGGTCTGTGTCGAGGTCACATTTACAAAGGAGCTTTGAAAGGGTGAACATGTAAAGTCGCAGAAGAATGTTCGAAAGTTGTTTCGACATGCTGGACACGATGATATCAGCGGCTCGACTTGTTGCACGTTGTCTCGCAAGGCCTCCACTTGCGCTTGAGTACAACAGACTGGAGTGTCTGCAAACTCGGCTCCGCAAACCTCAATGAGAAGTTCTCTTAGTTCGTCATTGGGCTAGTGCAGAAAGGACGCGTTGTCGCGTGAACCAGTTAGCTAGACGCTCCAAATCCCAGTGCGTTTGGACTTACGTCTTGTGGTGCGCCAGTATCAGGGCAGGGTAGATCCTTTCCAAGTGAAGTCTCTCCACAAGAACCTCGAAAGGCGCAGCCATGTAGAGGCTCCGCCATTTATGGTCAATTATGACGAGTATAACTAGGTCAGGAAGCAGGTTGAGACTTGGCACCGTTTTTAGTAAAAGCCAAATTCACCTTCTATTGTGTAAAGGATTGCATACATCGTTTTATTAGTACGAAGAAATTATAAACTAAATTTTGTCTCTACAGTACGTGACAAGTCTGCGGTGCGAGAAACAGGATGTGAAAAACTTTTTCCAAAAAAAATGTCCCAGATGAATAATACATAGATCACATTCCTACACCCAACGTGGCATTATAACTTGGCGGTAGTGGTTCATCCCCGGACAGAGGTAGATTACTGCCACTTCCGGTTGCAGCACCATCGCCAATACCCACATTGAATCCCATACGTCTTTCCTCGTATTCTGCTTCGGCTCTGGATTCAGCGATCGACATGGATCGACTGAGTCCAGGACGTTCTTGTTCTTTGGGCTCACTAATCAGGAGACTGGTGTGGAGGGCAACAGCCGGACTAGCTGGATCTCGAGTGGCAAATACGACATTTCCTGGTCCCCGAATCAGAGGCTCAAATGCTAATTGCGAACCTATTCGGAATTCGTCGCTCTTGAACAATCTTTGATATGCTCCATCATGCCCGCGTATCCAAACACGTAGTCTGTGGTTGGAATATGGTATTGACGAGTCGATGGGTACAGTGCTATAGGACTTGTTAGTCACGATGGGATAGATGGCACAAATAACTCACTAGACGACGAATTTTAGATCTTCCACTGGACAGTGCAGCCGCAGCTTGACTTGCTCAAAGACGAGCCTTGCAACTCCACCTGCCTGGTACTCCATCGAGATACCCCAGACCGCGTCAGAGCTTAGGTGTTTCATAATGATAATAAAGTCGCATGCAGCACGTCCAACAAAGCCTTTATAGGCCTTTCGGATGACGCCAGGAGGATCTCGTGCTATACAACTTGCTTTAGTAAAAGAAACACTTCGCATTAGAGTGATGACTTACGAAAGTGGACAGCCGGTGGGCCTTGTTGGGTAAGTGCTACATGCTGTATCGATGAGAACGGTGGATCCCTGCCCACCCATAGATTTTCGTCCGAAAATATTCGATGCTGGATTTGTTGTGCTTCTAACCATACACGAACACAATAGAGACAATTTGCTGGAAGAGAAGGTTTTGGAAAAATACTGGGAGATGAAAAAGGGGTCAGAAGCTGGCCAAGACAATAGAGTATGGTTCCCAGTCATGCGGTTGGCTATAGAGTCGGGGCAACCGTCCGCTGAGGGACGGGCGGTACTTACAAGACGTGGAAATTCAAGGTCCGTGGGTCGACTGTTAATCGCATGTATTCTCGTCCACATAAGCTGCGTTCTATGCCACCGGCTTTGAACGTCAAGGTGATTACGCTGTCATCGGAGGTCATGGGAGCTGCCTCCACCCTGGGAAGATGAAAATAAGATTAGACGATGGTTGAATCGATTTAGTCATGAATGCGACGCAGAAAAATACTGACGTTAGAATGAATTGTACGGCTACGCCGCCGGCCACAGCATTATAAATATACATGAAGCGCTGTTCGAACCGTTCGTTTACTCTCGCCAAGCCCGCAGCATTATCTTCCATGCTTTGTCTTCCGCTGCTCGCATTGGTAATGATGGAGGCGTTTCCACTTGTGCCCGGCCTCCCTGATGTGCCCGTCCAGGAGATAGGAACTGCCGAGTAACTTGTGTGGGCTCCCGAGGTACCAGGACTAGTTGCACGGGTTGAATTATGAACGCTTGTTCCACTAGGACTCATGGGTGGGACATCTCCCACACTCCTAAGAGAGTTCGCTGCAGAGTAAGGTGACCCTACAGCATGGTTCGCGGTCGAAGAAGCGGGCCAAGTTCCTTGTAGACTCTGGTAAATCGCCATATCTCGAGGATTCTGAGAAAAAGGCATCGGGTTGGGAGCTGCCACCGTCGTTTGCTGATGTGGTGGAGGTGATCTTAAGCCTCTCACAGCTTGCGCCCACTCTGCAGAGGTTGCAGTGGAGAAATTGGAGCTTCTACTGGAAGTATGCTGGTGCGAAGTCGCCGTGCTCTGCCTACAATTGTCGAGTTCGGTGTCAGTTATGGATTCTGACCGGTGCGGCCTTAAGTAGGCAGCAATATGAGAAATGCGCGCGCCCTATCAGAACGGCGGCATGGAAACACCGTAGAGATCGGTGTAGACGCAAGATCTGTGATCGCAAGAGGACATTTACCTGGATTGTGATTGTGCACGACCACCTTGTCTGCGATAGTTGTCGCTCATCCCAACTTGCACGGCGCTTCGGTCCACAGGAGGTCCAGGGGCTGTTGTTCACGAAGAGTTTGGATGTTCCGATCAAAGGGAAGATAGAGAACTGCACAATTCGCAACAGATCCTTCAATGCGCTGGCATTTATCCAGTCGCTGGAGGTGGCCAGGAGGACAGCAATGGAAACCACACTGAATTGTCGAGTAAGTAGTTTGGAAGTCGACAGTGCTAGCCGCCTCGCTTAGCGGGTCAAAAGCATATCTCTGGAGAATTGCCGCTATTTTAGAGGACTATCTAAAGCTACATTATTCACTGCTTTGTCCCACACGGCCCCATTCGAACGGGCTAAATTAGCGTGAAACCAAATAAGAGGATGTTAAACGTTTGATTTGTATTAGATCCCAAATGTCTACAGGGCATGTAAAAACAAGATGTAAAACGACGACAGGTCGATACAGTGATGATAAGTGATAGACACGAATGGGACGAGATGAATCATGATATGGTGACGTTGCTTTCGCTGCAAAACTAGTAGGCTCCACAATGGTCTCATTGAGAGGGGTGTAAAGAAGAGAGTAGAAGGAATGTCCTAAGTGTAATCTGCTTGAGGCTGCAAGTATGGAAACACAGTCAAAGGGGTATAAGCCCGTTCAATACCCCTTTGACACAGAAATCGGCAGAAAGGCTGGTAAATAGTGAGAACGAAGTGGACACCCTCATGCTGATGAGGCAGGGTGAGGTGTCCGTAGAAACTCGAGGAGTTGGGGGTTGGGATCTTGGAACCATAACTGCGCAGCGGATGGGCCTGTTAGAAGGCGTAGAGCTCCTCCCTCTATTTTAGAATAGTCTAATGGTGCATACCATTGATCGAGATGAGGCGAAAGGTTGTGGAGTCGAGTTGGTCAGTCGCAGTGGTCGAGGAAAAGCGAGTGGCACAGGGAAGGACGAGAAGCACAACACATGGTAAACGCGTTGTCAGCCTTGCCCACAAACTACGGTCTAGGTTCAACAAAAACGTACCAGATTCATCTTCAAAATCCTCTACCAGCTGTCGGTCGATGTGGATCTTTTTCCGTGCTTGTGCGCGCGTCGTGCTACCTTTTCGCGCATGATATTCACTTGTAGTGCGGCACAGCAATTGTGTCTAATTTAGAATGTTCGATCAGCCTTCTTGTCCAAATGATAACGGAAATAAGGAGCCAAGGTTGACTGAGAATCCCAGCCATGGTCGAAACGAATTTGTGTATTGTGGCGTCTAGAGAACAACTCACCACTTCTACATGTTTAGGCGGCAACAGACCCGTGTTCATCTTCATGATGAGGTCTGGTTGCCAGTAGAGCAACTGCACGGCTTGCTCTGACGTGATTCCAATAGCGACAGCGACCGCATGGATGAGATACCTGTCCTTGGACTGGGCGGTCGATTCAGGGGTGGGCATTGCTTTGGGAGAGTGGGGGAGAAGAAGGTTTTAGGAGGGGGGCTATAGCGGAGAACGAGGCTTCTTTTATAGTTGTGTTGAGGTTGGCGGTAAGAGCCCTAACAAAGCGAGGTGGGGGACCGTCGGTGGCACACGGGGAGGGCAGCCAGCCAGGTGAGGCTCAAACGCAGGCAACCACCAGCCCTTTTGAGGTGACGGTTGGACGACATCGTGCTTTTATCGCTAAATAGCCATACCAATCCTCCCGGCAAACGCGTGTTTTGCCAACACAATTCGTTGCTAGAATCCCAACACGTCTTTTCACTTATCCATCTCCTATCGATATCCCGATGGACCACTCGTGTTAGATCATTTGCATGCAATGGTTATACAATTGAGACCCCCACAGACCTCGCGGCACACGTAACATGTATATCCTACAATCTGATCATATGTTCCTCCAGGTCGAGTGAATTGCCCCGTCTGCTGCTCACGAGTTGATCCATCGATGAACCGAGGCGCGTTCGTAGACGGCTACCTCCTTTTCTGGCGAAACCTTGCCAATAGTTCGCCCTGGCCACGAGCTTGAAATGACCCCTGAGTGCGGCCCCAGCAAATGCAAATTATTGTCAGGATCCCAACCTTGCTGCATATGGGCGCGTGGTGAGCTCATGGCCTGTCACCGATAGAAATACGTATAGTGGTGAGAGCGTCAAATCGTGCAACAGAGTCCTGGACAACCATCTGGGCCTCTACTGGCGCCAGACTTCATCTGCATCTGGGGACTGACTTATTGACATAATTCTTGTTAACCTCCTCCGATGTTAGAATAGTCGAGTGTAGCGCTTGCAAACCTCACCTACTCGCGAACATGCTTCATGCACGCCGCAGCGTTCTCGCTCGCCCGCTTATCTAGGCGTTCTCCTTTCGATTGGCTCGAAACGAAACCATTGACGTTGACATTTCTGCGCATTTCTATGGTATAATATGACATCATTCGACCTCTAATCAGGGTCGCACTAGATCTATGATGTCTGCCTATCTCGAGCCTATGCTGCTCCTCCAAAGACGCGAGATTGTTAGACCCACTCCATGAGGCTCAACATAAAAGATCATATGCTCACAACTCAGCGGCGGTTTATCTCTGCGCAAAGGAGCGACAGCCTGGTTGAAAAGGTATCCTTTACATGCGGACCATCCTGTTGAATATCGGGATTGAGATGAAACCCTCTCTGCTGGTCTGGCCTCTTTTCCTAGCCCTGGTTCCTGCTACTGACCTCTGCCACAGGAGAGTGACAAAAAACGCTCAAACTTGCCGGGTGGGGTGAGATCGACCTTCGATGTGTAAAGGGGTGGCTCGCTACCCTGTGTGGTAAACTTTGGTTGGGAACTTGTCGCCACCCTCCCAGCCGTCCACTCGGAAAAACCCGTCTGCGGCGTCTTAAAATTCTCCATAGAATTTTACGCTTTTACACCTTGCCAGACTGGGGAAACCACGTTCTGATTTGTCATTTTCCACACCGTATCACAACCACCTCGCCGCCAGGCGCCCATTTTAGCACTTGAACCTCAATGGAACACAATAGCCAGCCGGAAAAAACCCCTACTGTATCATCCACCCTTCTGCATGTGACCGACCCTTTTGAGGCTTCAGGATCGTCGCCGGCACCTGCCTCATCTAGCAAGGCAACGGCCTCCAAGCCTCGCAAGCGCTTTGTGGGCAAAAAATCAGTCTCAGGCTCGTCTAGCAGCGGCAATCAACCTTCTTCTTCTAGATCAGTACCCCATTCTTCTGTGCCACAGGAGATACTCCACGATCCGGCGCTTAATGCAGCCATCGCACAGAATCTTCCTGCGAATTATGAATTTGAAGTGCACAAGACGATCTGGAACATTAAGAAGTGGAATTCGAAGATGGTTGGGCTTCAGATGCCGGAGGGACTGTTGATGTGGTCGTGCATATTGAGCGATATAATCGAAAGGTGGATAAGCATTTCCAT